CTCGTAGGCTTGATTATGCAGGTAGGCATTTCAAACCAAAACGAAAAATGTGACAAGATCCGTACAAGCGTCGCTATAAGCTAAGACCATCTGTGAGTTAATTATATTCCATCTCTTTCATTCAACAGCCCAATATTGCACTTTCCCTGTTGCAGCATCTTTTCCCTTACTGGAGAAATGCAGGCCACATCACTACTCAAACTCTTACATAGTCACTCTATACGATGCCACATCTTAACACTCAGACCTCTTCATACTAACCCCATACTGTAATAAATTCTAAACACTACCTGTAAATAGAAACAATTGACTCTACTGAACATACAGAAAACAGGGACATTTGAAACCCACATTGTCAAGAGAACTTGCAGGTCAATTTTAAGCGTTTACAAAAGACTAAAGATGCAAAAGCAAATAAAGACATGATAAATAAGCACACCACCATGGGGTGACAATTCTGGATCAGTATGTCTAAAATTATTCTAGCTCCAAATAACCCTCCTTCTCCCAAGACCAGGGTACATATTCATCTCATGATCATCAACGGAGCAAACATTTATCTTCTGTTTCTACTTTTTGACCATACTGTTTTCTCTTAAAATAGACAAGAGAGCTGCAACATCAGTTTCATTTATAAAGATTAAACTGTAGATAAACATCAAGTTCAAGGAAATTGCAAAATACTGGCCCTTGAAACATCATCAAAAGCATAGAGGAAAATGCCCAAGTTTCCCAGAAGATATTACATAACCTGTTTTATTTACTGTTTTGAACCTCTTTTAGATGTAAGTACATAAACTTCAAAAAAAAAAAATTCTCTGGTACAACGATCATTTAACTACACTAAAAACGTTGGTCAACTACCTGTTTTGCTTGACTTGTACGAGGACTGTGGATGTATCTGTATCTGACTTTGACATTATAACCTAGCAGTTGACGGTTTTGGGGTAAGTGGAGGAAGAAGCATCTACAGTTCACTCTTAATGGATGTTTTCTCACTTCCCTCTTTCAAGACATTTTTAAGAAATATCAAATCAAGCATAAAGTCAGCAACGTCCTGGAGTGGAAAGGAGTTACACTGCTTAACGCTGCAGTCTGATTATGACCTAGTTATCAGAGGAACAGAAGTTACATTAGTATTCAAATGAGGCAGGGGGGGGAGTGAAATTACTCCTTTTGAGGGTCAGAAAGTTTTAGCTATAGCAGAATTCCTATTACAAGATATGTAGTACAACAGCAGAAAGCTAACATTTTAAATGCTTATTTACCTGCCATTTAAAGGCTTCCTCAAAAGTAAAAATTTCAAATGTAAATTAAGATACACACACATATATACTGAACTCCTCAATCTTGTCCCATGAATAAAAAAATTATTTTTCTGAGCTATCTCCTTAAGAAAACTATCTAAAGCATTCTACAGTTACACAGAACCATGATCTGTTTTTCCATTATATGCTACAAAAGTAGAGTTCTGCACTAAAAATCACCAAAATAAGTCTTAGGACAACAGGTAATTGTGGGTTAACAAGCCACCACCTGAGGGTGAGGAAGTTGCAATCTTCCAACAACTGCATTTCTAATCAGAGCCACATTTCATTTTGATCTATATGTATTTACTGAAGATCAGGTGCCTAGCTACTAATACAGGTGGTTTTCTTCTTTTCAATACCTTTATTTTCTGTATGTAATTACGTGCTCTTAAATGACATATTTTAAGACTTTTGTTCCAATTTTTCAGGTCTTATTGCTACTGCTTCCTGTTGAAAGACTATCAAACATTCTTCTAAATAATCTGCACACAAAAATGCACATTTACACCACAAAGTGGTAGTTCAACTAAGGACTAATGGAATTTCAGATTATTTCAATATTCTACTGACAGAATTTATTAAAAATACCGTTGATTTCTCTGCTCCTTTGGTGAAAGATCACAGCACTTGAAAGATCACTTAGATTAGGACACTGGAACCTGAGCCATAAGAAAAGTGTGAATGCTTACTGCACAAATTTGTTTCCAATCTCAATTGTAGATACCTTACCCATGCTGGGGTCACATCAAACAATGGTAGCCACTAGAGTTCTAGTATTTACCCTTAAAGGGACTATTTGTAGTCATTTGCAAGTACCCTTTATCAAATGGCAAAGTTACTGAAGTTTCATATAGACTGTTCATTGTACTGTGTAAGTATACTGCCATATTTTAATAAAACATACTGCTAGGTCATATTAGAAATTAATTATTGATCCCACTGAGTTGTTAAGATTAAACTTTTACAACCAATTATTTTAAAATAAGTTGGCTGGAATGATGAACAGTTATCAAGTAAATTAAATCCATAAATCATATGCTGTTTACTACATTTAGATCACTGGCTGTATTAAAGTTTGTTACCACCTATGCAACAACAAAACATTAACTGAACTTTAAGGAACACATAAATGACTACTGCTGCTTGATGCATTTAATATTTTATTAACAGCAATAAGCTCATTTTTCATGACAGAAACACTGGAAACAAAGTGATTGCCACAGCTGCCACAGAAAATGGGCATGAACTTAATTTACACAATTCTGCTGGCAGTAGAAAATGCACTAATTTAAATACAGCTCCATAAAAGCCTAGCTGGCACTAGGTAATAAAGGATGACTCAATTAACCATAAACCAGAGTTTACAATACTAATTGTTAAATTTCCAAACTTCTTGAATCCTAAAAGAGTTAACAATTGCATGTTTACAATTTAAAGACAGGTTGATTGCATACTGTGTGATAACAGAAGAAACCTGAGAGGTTTAAAATCAACACTCAATCATAAGAGAATGACAAAGATTTCTCAATAGCTGTCATTAGTTTAATTTGGACTTCCTATATTTTAAGTACATATTCATTTGCTTAAGGCCTATCTCTAATCCATCTACAAAGATAAAAACCTCACAACTAGGTATGCAGCTCTGAAGTAATTTTTTTTGTAATTTGTCACAAAACCAATTCATACAATGCTATTGAAGAATCCATGCCTACTATGCAAGCATCTTGACAAGTCTGTTTTCTCTCAATAGTACTGGGAAAGGTAACCGTTAACACAGAAAGGCAGAGTTGAGCACTTGAGTCATACAGATACTACATGTTTCCCTGAAGGTATTAAAGGAAACAGCAACGTTAGTTCATTGCACAAATATGCATAATCAGTCTTCTAGTTAAGAGATCTACTAAATGCTGAACTTACTACTTTAAATTTTACGTTTAGTATACATAGAAACACTACCAATAATCTATGCTTCCCCCCTCTATTACATTTTGTTCCCTCTGTAGTACACGAAAGCCACGAAACCACAAATAAAACATGTTATCTTTCTGAGTTGCTAGGGCATGTCTGAATTACAACTCCTTTGGTAACCTTTTTTTTGGTGGGTTGTTGGTGGTTTTTTTTCCCCACAAAAGCATATACCTTTGAACCAAACCAGTTACTTGTGAAGTGTCTTTAGACATCAAAAATTAAGAAAATACTGAAACATGAAGGCTACAGAGAAACATGATAATCTTAGTCCTTCTCAAACATTACCAAAATCACAATGAAGTTGTCCTAAAGCCTGAAAAAGTCAGAAGTTTTCCCCTTACATTGAATACTAGTTAAGAATGCAGCCCATCCTCCTAACCCCAAGACAGCATGGAAGTAACAATACTGATTTAGGGCATATTCAAATTTCTTTTCTGAAAAAATTCAAAAGGCATTACACATCCAACTAGGATATGCATCCTCCAAACAATAAAAAAATTCCCATGTGACAATTTATTGCAGAGCTGTGCAATAAAACTACAAAATTGATCTTGGGTATGCACAACACTGGTCTACAGGAGATGCAACACGTGTGTTGAAGGATTAGGAATGTACAAGAGGGGTGGAATGACTGCAGTACTACAAATGTAGAAGTAAGAAGGCTGTGAAACAGGTGAAATTCTTACACAGCCAGAGTTGTGGCAAGTTCAAGAAGTGAACAAATTCACTTCACATCCCACAAGGCCTATAATTAGCATAAATCCTAGAGTTTGGGTTTTTTTTTTTATTCAGCAGGTGGTATGCTATGGAGAGCACTACCATCAAACTGCGCTGATGCAAACTCACATTTCTGAATACTTGCACATCATCTAGTTGGTACAATAGTTCCTGTAATGTTTCTAACCATGAGACAAATCATATATTTACTGTTACTAGCAAGTCTGGAAAGAAAATAAATATGGCAAAAGTAAATATTGTGGCCAACTGTGAACAAGTGTTATTAGTAGGGAGAGTACACACAAGACTAAGTAGATAAGTATTACAAACCAGCTTAAATTAAATGCATTTTTCCCTTGTCTGGTTTTCTGAAATACCTCCAAAACTAAAGATTTCTCTACATATTAAATATAGGTATACTCTTCTGAGCAGAAATGAACTATCTATTAAATTTTTTAGGAAATGCACTACCAGAAACATCCAAAAAATGACTCAAGCACTGTACAAGTCATCACTGTATCACTTGTGTTTCACAATTGTACAAAAGACAAATTGAATCAAGGGGAAAACCTGCTTTTCACAGTAATCATGCTGTTAACATCTCATTAAGGCAGAATTTGAATGGAAATGTTCTGTTAAATAAAGTAAGCTTCTCCTGTAACTTTTTGTGAAATCCAGAAACAGTAAAAATCTAAACTAGAAGACTTCAGTTATGGGTAATACACTCAATTCAGTTTTTATTTACTTTGAAGAGTAAAACATGTCAGAAATTCACTTATGCAGGCCTATGTTAGTAGTGTGGTTAAACACACGCCTGTGTTAACAAAACAAGTTACGAGAACTTACATCTTGTCATTAAGAGCCAGTCATATCAAGTACAGACACCTTGGGTAAAAAGCATTACTTTCTGATTCACTCACACACAGAAATTCCACTTGCATGACAAACAAGGTTTCCAAAACCAGCAAAAACAGGAGAGCTACTATAATGACACTGATTTCTTACCCTACGCATGGCTTCCTCCTCCTCTTGACGCTTCTCGTAATGTGCAAAGTCATCAAAGATTGAGGTGGTATGCTTGAAAGTAGCAATTATTTTAAGCACTTGCTTGGCTTTTTCTAGGGGTACCTCTTGAGTGTCCCTCGAATTGGTAACTGGTTTGTTGTCATTGTTTTCCAAGCGAATATGCCGCAGTTGGTTATTGGGAACGTCTTTGACAAAGATCCATTTGACATCAAACTTCCCCTTCCACTTATCCTGAGACCAGACACCAGCATATGCATTGTAGTCCACAACAGACTTCATCTCAGCCACTCCACAAAAGTGTCCACTGCCATTCACACTGAAGAGTAAATAGAGTGGGCCTTTTCCATTCAGGGAGCGGTAAGCAGCATCCAAGCGCTTATTACCATGTTCAGTACTACACCAGATAGAGTACTTAATGGAGCGATGAATATCGTCCTCTGAATAACTTTTGATTATAAACACACGTCCATTCTTCAGATTCCAATCGAAGTCTTTGGGATTGTAGTTGTTTATGGCCTTTAGTTTCTCCAGCACTGGGTGCACTTCCACACCAGAAGGTGAGGAGCTGACAGATACAACACCTAAACCAAAGTTCTCACTACCAGCTCCGTTGTTCTGGCTGAAGCCCACACCCCTATTACGAGGAGCTACCCAGCGGTTTTGCAGCTGCTGCTGCTGCAACTGGTGAGGCTGGGCCTGCTGCTGAGGTCCTTGTTGCTGTTGCTGTGGCTGAGGCTGCTGTTGAGGCAGTTGGCTTTGCACCAGTGGCGGTGGTTGAATTAATGGCTGAGGCTGCTGGATTATAGTCTGAGGAGGCAGTACTGGTTGGGCTGGGGGTGCTTTTACCACTGACCCTTTGTCATCCCAAGTTCCAATATTCATGTTGTGTTTTATAGGTGGTGGCGGTACAGCAGGGCCCCCGATACCCACATTACCTTTAGGCTTCAGTTTCGGCTGAGGTTTAGCAGGCTTCCTTGCAATGGCAGCCCATGAGGTTGGCTTAGGTGCTGAACTGCTAACCGGGGGCACACTGTTTGCTGCAATGCTCGTCATACCTGTACTGCTCAGAGCTGAACCGACAGTTTTTGTTACCGCAGCCGTCATATCTCCACCAATTTTCAGTCCAGTCATGCCTTGCTCAATGCTGCTAATCCCAGGCACCTTGCTCAGAGTATCACTGCCAAATCCAGCCTGTCCATCTGCTATGGCTCTCCCAAGAGAACTGGGTGGATAGCCATAGCTGCTGCTGTAAGCAGAGCTTTGCGTTGATTGTCCCTGAGATCCACTTGTCCCCCATGTAGAGAAGTCTGCATTCCCAGGAAAAAAATTAAATCCATGCTGCCCAAGAAATGGAGGGGTATTTCCTAATGCCCCAGGTTGACTAAATACACCATCAGGTATGTAATGGTGTTCACCGTTACTCATCTGTCCATAAGTTGTCAAGTATGGCATTGGAGGGTCGCCTGCAGTTGACCATGCTGCTTCGCCTAAAGAGTATGGAAATCCAATGGATGGAGCATAGTAACTAGGCATATACGGGTCTGACATTGGTGGATAGCTGTTACTCTGCAAGAAAATAAAACAAAAATCAGCAATATAGACAATTATGCTCAGGGAAAAAAAAAAACCAACACAACTGTACTACAGTTCAAAACCTTTTTAAGGATTGCATGAATGCATTTTTAACTTCCACCATTCCCCTCAACGTGAAAGATGAACAAGGTATCTGTTAGATATGATCATTTTTTCCTCAAGATACCTCTTCAAAGCACCAAAGAGCCTCATTCTTTTGTAATACATTATTTTCAGTTACTGAGCTAGGCTTAAAACATCTCTATGTCAACAGTATTAAGAAAATAACAAGCTACTTTAAAAAACAAGTCATCACAACTGTAGTTTCATAAATACAGAAAACTAGCTGCGACTATGATTTAAAGCCTTGGTATTTTTAGGTTTTTGTCAAATTTTTCACTTTTAATTGGAGACAGCTGCCAGAATATTATAGTGAAAAGGATACCTGTTTGTTTCAGGAGGAACAATAATCAAACTATAACATTTCCACATTATTGAGAATGGGCATTAAGTACAATCTGTGGTCTAGTAGAACAAAATTTGCTGTCTAAATTCAAATTCCACTCCGAATACTCCTGGGAAATCACAGCATTTACTTCTTAAGAAGATAAAGCTCCAAGACATTTGAGGGACTATCCTCATACAACTTCTGATGTTGTTTTGGGGGAAAAAACTGCACATTATCATCCTTTAGCTGATGTCTCCTTAATGTTGTATTATTTGAAAAAAATGGGAAGGTAAGCAAAATTCTCAAAGCCTTTTAATAATTTGCACTTTCTCCCTCTCTCAAGACTGCTACAACTTACAAACTCAATGAATATTAACTTGACTACAGATACAATTCACAGCTCTGAAAACAAGTCATTAACTTCCCGGCAGAAGAGTTATACTGAGCTGTAGTAATATTAAGCTTCGATCTATCATACCATCAGCTGTGAGCTACTTCTATCAACTTCAAAGGAAATCATGTCCAAGCAGTTAATATTTTCTCAGAGCCAATGAAACTTGTTTTGAACTGCATTCAATATATGATGATTTCATTGTAAATTTAAGGTGTGGCGTTTTGTTTTGGGTTTTTTGGGTTTGCTTTTTTCCACAAGCTTCTTGTAACTGCATCTTTCTGAAGTCAGAATACAAACACAAGAGCAGAAGACATCAGAGCATACTTTTTATAACTGAATCTTTTCCAGAATTATTAAAATGACTTCATCTGTTTAAGATATCATATGATAAGACAGCACACAATATTCACACAAGTAATGCTAAGAAATATCATTCAAAAATTAAGTCTGGAAGTCAGCTGAACTCCAAAGTTTACTTCAAGATAGTAAACAATGTTTTCACTTACCTGATTTGTCTGACTACTTAGATATGGCTCAAAATCATCATCATTTACTGCATCCTTTTGATGAATCGAACCGTTTTGTACTGAAACTAAAAGTAAATCTGTATTAGGTACACTCTCTGAAAGATCTATGATGCACTTTTAATCTAGATAACACTTCTTAACCACCTGTACATAGAAATACTTCTACTTGTGCTTTGTTGAGACCGAACATACTGTTGTTAAGCACCACTTTGTTAAACTGAAAGAAAATAGCTCATTCTGTCGATGATTACAATCAGATCTCGGGAGAGGTCTGGAAAGATGGCAAACACAGCAGACTACTCCTGACTATCTTGCCTGAGCTCAACAGAGGAAAAACTATAGGCACACTTTATTTGCACAGGCAGTAAATCCAGAGTTTCCAGAAGTACCAGACCAAGTGCAAATGTGCAGACCAACTAGATCAGACATTTTCAATAGGTTCAGGGAAAGTTGCAACATACAGCTTTCTGCTGCCAGGAGGCAAGTCAGTTACCCATCAAGACAACCATGAAGAGCACCACTATTCGGGTATTTAATTCTGTAGTTCCTACATAAATATACTGTACTGCATCAGTGGCGTCTCTGAAGCTCAGAGGGTACAAAGCGAGAGAATATCAAGAGGTAAAGTCCCCAAGGGTGATTACAATCCTTTCCCAACATACATGCCACTATACACTGGAATCTCTTCCTACCTGCTCTCCTTGGCCTCTTACTACCTTTAATTTCATCTAAGTCATTACACCTACCTGAGATTTTCCAGCTGCCCGAACTACTTGAAGTGTCTCTCCACCCTCCCCCAGGCTACTATTCAAACAAAGTCAAACTGCACAAATTTCAACCAAGTTCCACTGTCTCCCAAGGTGCAAAGCAGAACATGGACTTAAACCAGTCACTTGCAATAATACAACTTGAAGATGAAGACCTCTTCTCAAAAATTAATTACTGCTTTTCTGAATGCAATTTTTTGTTGTTTATCAAATAGGTTCAGTGAAGAAGAAAAAAAAAAAAACACCACAAAAAAAACAACAACCAAACAAACACAAAAAAGTTTTAGAGTGATCAGTTAAGGTGCACTGAGAAACCACCATGACAGCAGAGTCGTAACAAAACAGATTTTCTGCCAGCTCAAGACATGGACTTAGGAGCTGACTCTGGTTTCCCTCTTTTAGCAAAAGCTTTTGAAAAGTATTTACAACCATGTAACTAAACCTTCAACTTTGCTAGAGTTAGTGTTTAAGAGCAGGGTTTTTTCTGTTTTATCGGGTTGGGTTTTTTTGCCACCCAAAGTTCACATTGCGAACCAAGCAGTGTCTAGACTAAGTCGCTTCAATTTTTTTTCACATTTCACTTTAATATCTCTAAAACAAACTACCTTCAGGGAATGATACTAGCTGGAAAAAATGACAAAGGAATAGATATAACCACAAGGAACAGTCAAAATTCTGCAAAAATGTATTAGCTTCAGACAGCAGTAAAAAGAGGTAAAAATTCATAATTTAACAAAGAGCAACAGAAGATTATGTTCAAAGCAAATATCTGAGAAGGAATAAAGCAACTTGTGTTTTGAATACTTTCTTGAAGATTTAAAAGTTAGAACACTTGACAATTCCATTATTACAAACTGGCACAGTGCGTCTGTATTCCAGCTACAGCCAAATATGACCAGCAATGGTGAGCACAATGGGGTTTAAAACTTGATAGAACAGCAATCCAAATTAAACACTAAATTTAAATTAACACTAGGTATTGGGTGGGGTTTTTTCTCACATAAATAAAGAGTTTCTGTTAAGGTCATTAATCATCCCGAATTTACACACAATGGTAACATATTAATGAGCTGGAACACTATATTCCTCTTATATTTGGCCATGTCACACAGGGGATGAGCCTCAAAATCTTTTGTCCACGCTATTTCCATTGCTTAGACTTAACAAAATAGCATGGACAAAATACAAAGTACAAAATAGCATTCTCAAATACAATTCTGTTAAAATGAAAAACACAGCAGCATGCAAGTTACTTAAAAGCATGCCACCACAAATAAAGCAATAAACAGCTGCATGTCAAGACTAGAATCCTATCAGAATTAATCTCCTCATACCAACAGCTAATCTTCACAAAACATGCATCTGCTGTGTTTATTGTTTCAGAGGTATCTAAAGGTCACTTAAGACAATTATTTTTGGTCTGCCATTACAAGTAACATAGAATATTCTTGTAGATGTATTTTCTTTCTTATTCATTTTCTATTGAGGTCTCAAGTCAGTGACACAAAACATCGTTCCTAGTAAATAGATACATTTCCCAGTGAAATAGTGTCACTAGAAGTGTGTTTCTTTGGCTTTTCATTCTAACTTTACATAACGCATTAATAATGAAGAATGTAACCCACGCACACATTTAACAAGAGCAAACAGATTAAGATGCATGCCTCATTCCCAAAATCTCACATTAAGTGTTCCAACTAAACAGGGCACTGATGAAGAATACTAATTGAAACTAATTTACAGTTACTAAAAATAATCTGTATCAATCCAACCCTGAAAATACCATATACTTCCGCAAACACTGTGAAAACATACAGTGTAATTAGATATTGGAAAGAAACAACTCATCAAATAAAGGAACTTAAAGCTTATATTCTTTTAACTGTTACGGTCCTTTGAATAACCACTTGCAAAACGCACAAGTGATGGCCAAAGGCATAAGAATAAATTTTTTATTAGAAGAAGCCATTACACCTTAATTAATTGGAGAATAAATGCTAAAAGAAACACATAACATTTCATTCTTGTTTTAAACCTACTGCTTACATTTAAACCTTCTACAAAATAAAGAATTACATATATATATATATATATGTAAACACAAGTCAGCATTTTCCTGTCACAGGTGTAACACACTGGCACAACAA